GTCCCTAATTGGTTAGAAATCAAATAGTAATGTATTTTCATATCTTAGAGTTTTATCCAAAAAAAATTACAATACAATATCATAACTATATAATGGAGTATAGATTTCTACTGTCACTTTTTGAACAGTCGTTCAATACTTAAGAGATGAAGAAGAATAAAGATCGTGCGATAGGTAAGAGAAAACGAAGATAGAAAAAATAAAATATCGTGCAATGTATAATGATACGGTCACTATACAACAGCCATCATGGAAGGGACGAATTGAGAATCAATTAAGAATCGTATATTTATGTAAGGGACGAATTAAGAAAAATATTTTAGAGCCGAATCGTCTAATTGACCAATTTGGGATGAATCGAGAGGATCCCTCTTCAACTGTTGCTGATCGAATTCGTCTGGTTTATATGCATGAAATTATAAATTATGGAAGGAACTAATTGGAACGATTAGTTGTGATCACATTACAACAAAGTCAATATTCATATACGATTTAAAATACATCAGTAAAAACGAAGAAAAAGAAAAGATTTCACATTTTTACATTCCAAAAACATCGAAGAAGTTTTAGAATTACGTGAACGATAGAAGAGAAATCTTGAAAGAATGTTACCAGCGCAATTCTTTATGATTCACCCATTATTTGTTTAAATTTAGACTTCTTTTTTAAAATGTTTTTTATCTTAAAGGATGACACCTAATTTAAAAGTTAAATTTTTTAATTACTCTATTGGAAAATATATATCTGTAAGCCTAACGAACTTTTATTTGGTTGTTTTAAACAACAGGCATTGACTCTCATATTTCAATGAGTGATTAATTCCATAGAACATTAAGAAAGCCAAAAATGTAAACCGAAGGAATATTCCTCACTTCACATAGAAATTACGAATCAATCAAATAGCAGTCATTGCTCAACCATAGCTCAACTACTTTGTCTCCTTCGTATGATTGGCAGTTAAAGCATTAAAAATATAAGTAAAAATCGCTCTTAATCGTTGAATGTTAAGAACCGACTTTTTGAGTAAACTTTTTTAAAAATAAAACCTAATTCTTTTTTTATTTTTACAATAATGATTATCGTTATTAATAGTCTCTCACAAGTAAAACTCGAAATAGAAAAATCAAGTTTTTACGGCAAAAAACATTTTTGAAAATTAGATGCATTTCAAACACTTGACATTATTTTTCTATAAAACATAGTTTCCGCATTAACAAACATCGATTATTGATAAGATGAAATTTTAAAATGGTTAACTTCATTTGTGTACTTTAACAAGAACTCAGATGAATTTTTACTTCATCGATTTACTCATAGGCAAAGCCGTGCCATATTTAATGCGGAGCACATGTTCATTTTTTCCGAACAGTATTTAGAAAAACATGAGTACATTAAAGTATATCAAAATTTGATGGAAATTTAAGAAAAAAAAGAAAGTCATGTAATAAAATTAAAAAAAAATAGAAGACAAAGTTGTTTTAATGATTCATCTACTTTTGTCTTCTATTTTTTTTCTAATGGGTCATCGTAAACTTCTTTTACAAGTAAAATATAATTTTTCAGATTGACAGTGAAACGTAATGAAATAAAAAACTACGTAGTAACGTGAATAATAATTTAAATAAATAAATATAGTTTGTATTGATTTTGTTGTTATAAACTACTAGATGATTGTACATATTGACGAATTTAACATGTCTATTCGATTTTCTTTTTGTACAATACTCAAAGTTGTATGTTTATTTGTTCTCACATTTCTCGACTTTACTATATAATTGATTATTAATTTTTTTAACTGGATTTAAATCTTCAATTCATGTTTTATTGTACTCCTACTCTATGAGAAACAGATGAAGACATTTTAATGGTTATAGAAAGAAGTTGAATATTTTCTTAATTTTTATATACTAAAAATATGATTTTATTATTATTTTTTCTTCCGAAAAATCAAAGAAAATGTTTGGTAATTATATTTCATTAGTGCATAGTCACAGAGCTATAAAATTGTTTCTACATGGAATATGTCATCATAGACACACTTTGCTTATCCTCTCATAAAATAAGTAAAGTCACATTTTTTTATCATATAAAAATATCAAAAATATTTAACTTTTTTCGTTGTTGATGAAGCTTGTAGTTCTCAAATTGGTGATTTTATATTTCGCTAACATGGAAATAATCCAATAATACAGAACGGACTATATGCTTATGAGTACAAAATGATGATAACCTAATTTTGATACATTTGCATTCGTTTGAAACAAAATTTTTGGTTCAATTTTTTTGTTTCGAGAAAGATTTCTATCATTTTTTGTCTCATATTTTTGTCGTATCTTAATGCTATGTTTTTCGTCTGTATTTCGTATGAAGCAATGTTTCATAAAACGAAATGGCTGGAAATTCTAGTTTGAATTGATATTTTGAATTGAAATTCATTAGATCAACATAATCGAGAAAATGATCTAAAAAGTCTCTTATTTCAGAACATGTACCTTTTAACTAATATTTTAGACCATATCATCTTTGATTTTTTTTTAATAGGTTGATTACATCTATAGACATATATAGATAGAATTAATAGGATTGTTTTTGTCTTTTCGTTATATAACTTTCATTTTTATCGTCAAGTTCATCAGGAGAAAGTAAGGAAAGCATCTCGAACGAAAACAAAATATGAGTTTGCCCAATAAAAATTGAGTGAGCATCAAAAATACGAGTTGTATACATGAGAGGTAATATCATTGATGTACTGTAACGAAATGATGTTGTAAAACAATCTTCAACCATTTTTTTTCGTATCTCGTGATTCACGAAGAGTGGTGAATAGATTGCGTTTGAAACATATTCAGTCTTGTCGAGTGAAATTAGACCTCTGACAAAGAATTTAATCATTAGTTTTCAACTAAATCTTAGTAATAAAAAGAATCGTTTATTCTATTGAAAACAGTGTCATAGAAGACCGGCATTGTCTAAATTTTTATAGAGATTAGATCGAGCCTGTTTTGGAATAAGCACAGCAAGTTGATAAAGTGTGCTATTTTGTCATAAGATTAGACAGAAGTGGACGAAACATAGGATGGTGCATGGCAAAAAGTGAGTTTTAGAATAAAAAAAACAGAAAGTAGAATCAGTTTTCTTTCGAACTGAATAGAGCGAAGATTTCTCTAGGTTTGAACTTACCAAAATAATTCATTCAGTTTCGTTAGAGAACTTCTCAATGTGCTCAAATTTAATTCAAAGTTTTAAGTAGAATAAAAGATTCTTTTTTATTAATACTTACTCAACCATCAATGATTCCGTCCAATGTCAGAGGTGAATAGTCGAAAATTGTTTTAGAACATTATCTCGTTACAATACATCAATGATATTATCTCCCATACATATACCTCATAGTTTTGATGATTATTCAATTTTTATCGGGCACACTATTTTCGGAGAGAAATATTTTAAATCTCATTGATTTACTCGAATTCATTTTGTCTTTATCCTTTTTGTATTCTATCTTGTATTTTAAATGTAACTACTATAAACCAACTTAATATTATCTCTTTAACATGTGACAATGATATTCGAGTCTTACGGTACAAAAATTTATATTACACAATCTCTCGTAACAGAAGACTCCGTAAAGCAAATAATACATTAGAACATACCAAACATAGTCTCGTGATTCTTTTTGATTGACAAGTGAGATTTATGGAAATAGAAAGCTTTTTCTCAAAAAGTTTGATTTATGTGAATCAAATGAAAGGTCATACTAAGAAAACACCTTAGTCCAAAACTTTTATACGATTGAACATGAATATGAAAAATCACGATAGATTACTTTTTAGTGATAAGTAACTTTCAGTGCTATGAAAAAATACCCCATAGTAGCTAGTATCTATAAAAAAACAACCACTGATATTACTTTTATCGTTCTTTAGAAAATTATAATTTACTAAAAAGTATAAGTCGACAAAGTACCCTAAATGTAGCCGAGTACCTAATAATTATTTGCAACACTTATATCTTCAGAATAACTCATTCATTCAAACTGAAGTGTTCAGTTTATTGCTAACTCAGATGCATATATCTACTGTAAGAACAATGATCCAATTTGTGAGATCACGTGAACAAGACTCTACTAGGAGTGGTCGTGACCTCTGTGCAATATCTTGTAGGGAATTCAACAATAATAAGATACTGAAGTACAAAAAAAAACCATGGTTTCTAAACCTTTGATGTCTGTATGATTTCCAGCACGGTGTCGGAATCTTTTGAACGTCACCAGTAATAACGTTTCAGAAGACTCATGAGAGTTTACAAATAAGAGTGTCTCGTTATCAACAATTGTAAGTCTTTCGGAGTTTTAGATGATATTATTAGCCGAAGAACTTTGAGCATATTGCAAAGTTACGGATACTGAATTTCAATTTGATAAAGCTCTAAAAGTTTTGCAAGATTTTTTGATACATCCTATTGTCTGAGTTTGCCACAAGACGAAAATTTTTTTAAAGTGAAAGGATTCATGGAACTTAGACAACTTAAGAAAGCAGTGGAATCCAAAGAGCTTAAGTATTGGACGGACGAGAATGAGTATATAGGTGAAAGGCTGAGAGTAATAATCAACAGAATTCTCTTAATCCTCATTCAAGTATCGTCAAATTCTTTTAAAGCGAAAGATTTCGAGAAGTTCGACATAATAGAATTACTAGATTTGAAATGCCTTCTTTTGACGAAAACCCAGACCTAATTCGACTAGGTTTTGATGAACAACATGATTTTCTCAGACAGTTCGATGTCGGATTCACAGATTGTACCAAATCACTTGGAGTTGTCAAAATGGTTACATTCTATTGAATATTATTCTCTTGATAGAAATAATACATGAAAAAGATTTCATTAAAAAAAAATCAAACATTCTTTTGTATTTGTCGAAATTTCGTTATTATAACTTTCTCTTTATCAATTAAATATTTTTATACAATTATCTAATTTCTGCCTTTATCATATATCAACTAATCAGTATTCAAACATTTTTCCATTGTTTCATAAATATGTATCATACAAAACGTTATTTTCTTAAGAAAAAGTATAAATAACTTACCAGAACTAGTTTTAATTGGTAGTTTTGCTGCTGCCAGATGCATATCATTCATAGCTGATGCTAATGGTTGATCATCGTTGTCATCAATTTCAATTAGATGTACAAGATGGGAGCCATTCGATTGCTCTAAAGGATCGCTTTTCACGCGAAATTGTGAGCCCATTCGTAAAATAACTTCATTTTCACTTTCATATTCTGTGTATCCAGAAATTTTCTTTCCACTAACAGCTTCAATAAGAAAAAGAGTTGAGTTTTTGTCGTTATCAAGAAAATTTTTAATAATTTTGACCGATGACGAACATGAATTAACACTTCACCACGTCAGAATTTGGTTTTCGATGAAGTTTTTGCCAATATCAAGAGGCACGCCTCTCCATACCGCCTCTTTAACAGTAGGTAACTTATCCAATGCCGTACCAAATAGCTTTAAATATGGAAACCATATCTTTAATGCTTGTCGATTTTCAGATCGTAGTGCTTTATTTAATACACGATATAAAGTAGTATCACCCCATTCCATTGTATAGATATAAACAGCAGCTGATTGATCACGTGATAGTCCATGTTCTGACGGAAAATGACAATTGCGTTTAGCTATCTTTATATAATAAGGTAGTTCATCAATTTGAGGCTGGATAGGTTCTAGTGCTTTTTCAATTGAAACAAGTTCTGCACTGCGATAACCATAAACAGGTGGAAGCCGTTTAAATGAAACTTCGATATCACCAAAGCGATTCATCATATACGATTTGTATTTGCTGTTGAACGTTGATGAAAGTACGATTGTTACGAGTTCGAAACAATTGTTTAAAATATTTTAGATTTGTTTTCCTATAGAACATTATTAAAGAAAAATTATTATCAGTACTTTCTCTTTCTATACAATAATAGAAAAAATGAATCATTTCTTTCCCTTTCGTAATACTCTGTTCGTGATGCTAACAAGAAGAATATGGACACTGTCAGCAGAAAGGCACTCATCCTCTGTTTCTTAAAGATTTGTTTTCAAGTTACTTATGTGCAATTCTTCTCTACTCAAACGCATTATGATTTGCAGAAACCAGTCAGTATAGGATAGCATATTATGATTTATAAAATAGATTAAATCGTCGCGAAGTCAACAATAAGAAAAAAACTTCTTGTGGTTACGTTATTAGCGCAAGCCGAAAAAAAAGTCATGTACACAGCTTTAGAAGAGGTTTCGACTACTTCTAAAGGCATACCGACAATTCTAAAGTTTAAATTCCCACTTTTCGCATAAATATTAAAGCAGTTGACTAACTCGTTTTGAAGATTTATGAAATAATATTTGTCCTAAAACGTAAGTAAATGCTTGATGATTACTATGATAGTATAGAGCTTAAAATAAAAACGAAGTGGATATAATTCTTACATTGAAGTAATAATAGTGCTATTATTAATATGAATCTTCTTGTTTAATTGTCTGCCGAAACAATTTGTCCTGAAAAAATAGTTTGCTTACTTCCCCTTCTTTTATCGTGAGATTTTATAAAGAAAAATGGTTTAGTTGTTATTAATCATATGTCGACACGCATCAATTTTAGTTTAGCAGTTTGAATTGTAATAAATTCATCAACTCTCATTAGTCTAAGTACATGCTGATGATCAAATCTTCTTATCAACATGAAATGCTTATGACCAGTTCTCTTCATATGAAATAGAATTACTGAACGCCCTATTTTAACGTAACTCTGCAAAGTTGAATGCGTCTCTGGAACTGCAGCTCATTATCGAAAAGAACTAGCCACAAATATTTTATGCAGCATCACAACTAGAAGTGGAACGCTGTTCTTGACCCCCTTCATCAAAAAACCAGTGCATCAGTCGCTATTAGCATCAGCATCAATTGACATGAAGAAGTTGGTCATCAGCTTCAACACGTTTCAATTAAATATTCTGTGTTTTGATTTAATGAGGAAAGTCTGTGTAACACTTTTTTGTCAAAAATTTCGTCACCGAATCATTTTTAGAAAGATGGTAACTGTACATGTATAGACACATCGCTACCACGCATTTAGAAGAAAACACCGACTAGGATGTGGGTGTGGGATGTGGCTGTATATGGGTGTGTTGATGTGATGTTTGAGTGTAGCCATTGATGGGTTTGAATGTATTTGGGGTGTTGGGGTTCGGATGGGAGTACGATGTATGATGTTTGGTATGAGTGTGTTGCGGTGTTTAGACTTGGATTTAGTCGTGAATAGGTAGGTAGAAGTGTAATTGTCTAAATAGTTAACAAGAAACGCTGCGCTCAACAAACATCAACGTCCTCATCAACATGACCGTCAATAAGGACACCGACAGACGCATCCACTAAGACATCCACACATACACTTACAGTCAAACTCGCATCCACCCTTCTATATACATTTGATATTAGTATGGATTGACTGGTAACGTAATAGTTATTCTATACAGAGAGATTTAAACATAAAGTCGAGGATCAAGCAAGTTGCAAGTACAAGCATTGCTTGTACATAATTCAAACTCGAAAAATTAAATGAATATGAGAAAATTATAATGGTACAGTTTAAAATAGATTGGTAGAGAATACAGTCTAATCAATATGATAGTGTTACAGGATAGAAATAATATTTAAAGATTTGAGAAGTTATCTTTGGAGTATATAATTGTCGATTTTTCTTCGAATAGATCATTTAAGCAAAAAACTCGAACGTGTACAGCAATGCTCAGAAACTTGACGAAATTTCTAACGAAACTAACAGCATGAAGTTGCAATTTTTGCCTAGGCATTATGGATTATAATGTTTTACGATTAAAACTTCATTTCAAAGGATTAGTCCCATCGCAGCGAGAGAGAGAGGGGGGGGGTTTCTTTTCCATTCTCGAAAGGCTTCAATTTTTTAATACTATGTTTACTCGTTTTTTCTAGATTTTATCTGCATGGACAGATCAGTTGATTTTTATAAGCATTACTCTGTCTATGACTGCAGCTGTGATAACACAGCTTATCCTGAATACATAGTTCGCTGACGAAAAACTTTGCTTTACTCAGTACTGACTATTGAGAAGAAAAAGCTCGTGAACCTTCAAGTTCTATCCAGCAACCTTTCCTTATGTATATAATATAATAAAACCTAATGATACCAGAGAGTTATTGCAAAAGAGGAACTTATCTTCTCATATATTATATTCTTCGATAACAAGAGAGAGATGCGAGTATAAAAAAGAACACAACCGTAAAGAGAGTATATATAATTTATGTGTCATAAAGGAAAGACTATAGGTACATCTACTTAATTGAACATCAAGAGATGATAACAATGGTAGAGACAATGATAAATCATCCAAAACAACAGTGTGCTGATACAATAGCATCTCGTGTTGGATTAATGTAATTAGTTTCAAATACTTAACCATGTCTACGTACCAGAAGTTTTGTTCCTTCAATAGTGCGAAATCACTTCCCTTTCAGAAATATTTCCGAATGCCCTAACAGATATGTAGACGATATCAAGATTTTTTAGTTACATTGACATGCTTATAAGCCGTCTGTAAGTTCTTTCCGTTCAACTGATGCATGGATCGGTGGACGCAACATCTTTCCAGCGACTTCACATGGACAAACGGCATACAATTTTTCGTGTTCAAGGTTACGGAATCTCTATTTGACCTTGTACTTTCGGTGGTAACTCTGACACATTCATGAGTGGTCAGAAGCTGTTCCACTTCAATGAGTGAAATGGATAGTAAGACTGATGCTTTTCTGGTAAAGCCACCGCATTAATGGATGACCAAAAGACTTTCGACCTTCATCTCACAGATTCCTCAGTGATCTGAAAGTCCACATGATTACTCGACAATAATCATTACCCGTCTGAAGCACTTGAACGCTGTCGCGATGCATGGATCGACTCTCAGAAACTTTTATTCTGTCTTTCTAACACATTTCTTTGCAATTGGAAAGTTTACCTGTTACCCAAGAGCATTGGTCGATATCCCAAAGAAATTCGCAGCTAATTTAATACATTGATCAATTCCCAACAAATCTTTTTGCTGTTCTTCTAACATAGTTCTTCGTAATTCGAAAGATTTTGTCATCAGCCGAAAACGTTCACTAGTAGACTGAAGCTTTTGACTTAAACTCACGAACGGTTCTCTGTGGCCTGAAAGTTTTCATTACTAACAAAACATATTCTTTGATAACCTGAAGATATCAACTGCTAACTTGGTACATGTATCTGTTCTGCGCGACTTTTGCCACTTCGTCTCACATATTTTTCTGTGATCAAAAAGCTTTCAGCCTGCCCCACAAGTATTCCTCGAGGTTTGAGGCTATTCACCTTTATGCTCAAACATGGTTGAGCTCCAAAGGTTTTCTTCTCTTTGTTATGGATTTGCTCATACACTGAAGTTTTCGTCACCACGAGAAGACATAGATTGGCTCTCTGAAAATTTTCCTCCGCCTTTCGACAGTTTCTCTGTAAACCAAAAGTTATCATCATCACCTGCAATGTTCAGCTATAGGGTGGAACTTTCGTAGTGTACTCAACATATTAATCGATTTCCCAAAATTTCCCTATCATTTTCAGTCATGATTGGTAAACGGAAACCTTTTGCCACTACTGATAGACAGTTCTCCTAGACTGAAGCTTTTTGCTAGTACATTCATATAATTGCAAGCTTCTAAAGCATGTTGCTCTTCCTCCCACGAATTCTATGACATTGAAAAGCTTTCACTGTCATATAGAAAGACGGATTAGTACTCAGCAGATTTGCTTGGGCCTCTGGCATGTTGATCGATTCTTGGAAATTTTTGTGACCCTGCTGAAATATTTCTGTGTGGTCAGGAAGCTGTCGCCGTCACCGGAAAATATTGATCGATATCCTGAGTTTTTTCTCTTTATATGAACACATGGTTTGTTTCTAACACTTTTTTCATATGTATTCCGCAAATTGCTCTGCGATTTGAAAGTTTTCGCTTTCTCCTAGAGACCTACATCGATGGTATGAAGGTTCTCACTGCACCTGATAAATCGATTGATTCTCCGAAACTTTTGCTGCCTCTTCTACATATTGCTTTGTGATGAGTAAGTTTTCGCAGTCATTCACATGTATCCTACGACGACTGAAGCTTTTGCCGCTAATTACATCCATGCCAGTGTTCCGAAGCTTTTCCTCTTCCTCTCACGTATTTCTCTGAAATCGAAAAACTTTTTACCATCATGCAGAGATATACACTACTAATCATAAGTCCCGGTATGTGTGATACTTCCCCATGGCTTCGATAATTTTCTATCAAATTTTTACCAGAGATAGAGCTTAAAAAACTGTGATCACCAGCACCAACCTGAGCTCTATCGACTGAAATAGTATGAAGTTATGATTCAAATACTAGTTTCACTTCTGTTTACCTGTAAACCAATATTTAAAGTTTTTATGAAAAACAATCGAGATGCTAGAAGTCTTGTTTAATCTCTAAGTTATTTCTTAGCTTGTTAATGTTCATTGATTTTGCCGTACAAGAATGTGTAGTCAACATTTATTGTTCGTAATTCTATGCGATTTTATTCCAGCATCTTGATTGTTTTTCATACAAACTGTCAAAATAGGTTTATAGATAAACATAGGTGACATTGGCGTTTGAATCATAACTTCATACTATCTCCATCAATAGAGTTCGGATTGATGCTGACGATCACAGTTTTTAAAGCTCTATCTCTGGTAAAAATTTGATGGAAAATTATCACAGCCGTAGGA